TAATCACAGAGAAATTAGGTGATGCAATAAGTAAATTTTCGAACTCTTCTGTTAACCATTTTGATAGGTGGTAAGTCGGCGATCCGATTGCTGAAACAATAGGACGTACCGACTTCCTGGTTTATGTATCTTAGGCAAGCAGTACAATCTAGGTACACTTGGGTTAGATACATGTAACTTCCTATTTAGAGCTGAACTAATAAGGTTGTTGCAGGATTTAAGTACATTTCTTACTTCAGTAACCATTTTTGGTAATGGATTTCTAGAATGTTTTTTATAAGGCCCATTACCAATCAGATTGTCTACCTTTTCATAACAGTACTATTTATCTAAAATAACAACCTTATTGCCCTTATCAGCTTTTAAATAAAAACAATCTTTTTCATGCAACCATTTGACAATTTTTCTGTCTTTTGCAGATTTTGAGTTTTTATTTACTTTAGTGACAATATTTGTCGAGATTTGATTTCTGCAAGCTTCTCTGACAAATCCTTTAGAGGAATCAGGAAGGTATTGAATTAAACTTTCAACATTTGCAACAATCTCATCTAAAATACCTTCAAAGGCAGGTAAGGCAAAATTTAATCCCTTGTTAAGGAGACTAATTTCTTCTTTATCAAACGACTGTGAGGAATGATTTTCTACAATGCTGAGAAATTTTTGAGGAACATTTCCTTTTGACGTACTACCGATTAATCTTTTTAATTTTTTATTTTGTGACAACATTTTCTTAATAGATTTCGCGCTAATTGATATAAACATGTTCCTCTGAAAGTCACACCATTTTTCATGTTCTAAATTATTTAACTTATAGGTAAGCTTTCTGTAAAGTCCATATGCTTGTAATTCAAGCGTACTTTCTTTACTGTACAGATACTTAATTTCTAAATCCAGCCATTTCTGCTTTGCAAACATTGTAACTTTATTTAAAATGTATAAAGAATATATATCGTGGCTTTTTTTTAATTGTGACAATTTTAGAAATTTTATGTAAAGAAAATGCACCACAAAAAAATTGTACTAATGTTGAGTTAGAGGATTTTCAACAATCGATTTGTTAGTAACATGGTGTACCCGTGCATTTGCTGTATTTTTTATAAATCAAATGTGTTAAATATCAAGATCTAGAGGTGTGGATTGCAGTTGAGAGCTTGTTCTAATTAGATGCCGTTATATTTATGTAAATATCCTATAAGACATAATATACTTCCTTAAACATTCCTTAAGTAATTCTGAAATTCATGTAATCGGTTTTTGTCAATTTAAATTAACACAATCTACCTAAATAATGATGCATTTTTTATAAGAGTTTATGCATTTAGACATAATGATTTGAAAAACATTTTTAACAAAAACGTCAGTAAGTTAAATACGTATATATTAACGTGTCCTAGTTATCCTGCATATCGCATAGTTTTGTCACAACGGTCAATAACGTTTTGCAATTTTCATTTAATTTAGTTACTTTACTTTTGAACACGAAGTGTTACTTTAATTATGCAAATCACCAATTTAGCAGAGATTGCCTTAGAATGTCTGACTGCTTATTTTAAACATGAAATATTAAAAATTTAGGCATTCTTGCAAACAAAACAGAAATAAACAAGGCTTATTACTGTCACAGCCAACACGAAACGGCGTTATCACAGGATAATCTTTAAAATAATGATTTTAATAAAGTGAATTAAAATGAAACGATACAAGAGGAAAATCATGCTGTTTATTATGATTTTCACTTTTCTAGTTATTGTAATCTGAGATAGTATTTTGTTCTTCGGAGGATTAAATTGAACCAACTTTTGAATTATGTAAGAACCACAGCTGTAGTCAAGAAACGGATTTCGATACGATAGAAAAAGTTCTCTAAGGGTGTAACACGAATGAGGCCTACATTTCTTGGGATTTTTCTTTTGTCTGGTCTTAATCCACATTGTATCCATATCTACACTTCTCGTCAATATCCTATTTTAATAAATTACACATAATTTTTTTTTACAAATAAAACAGAATTTCTTAATCCAGTTTTCTATCCGTTAGACGAAGGATTGTGATTTCCTTCGTCTAAATCTCTATCTCACACAGTGGATATTGAGTAGGTAACATTATATTTTAATTAGCGTCGCAAATTATTAGTCATATAGGGAATTCAATCTGCACATTTGTTATGAATTATTAAAACATGGTTAATTAGGAACTGGAATTTCAAAAAATAAGACAGCATATTTTACTGAATTTAAAATCTATGTTTCATTTTTTAGTAATGGCAATAGGAAAGGAGAAAGGAAGAACACAAAATACAAAAGCAAGACTCAAAGATATTATTTAAATCATATTAAATGTTCTAAAATAAAAGAAAATTTCTTAAAAATAGACTGCCAATAATTTGAAAAATATGTTTTTTAAAAAGAAATACTTTCTAAATATTTTATTTTAATTCGCACAGTTTTTTAAGGTGGACGACAGTTTTTTCCTTTATAAGATTATAAAATTATTTTATTTAGGGTCGACGCGTTAATAAAATTTGTCCGTACAACACATTTGCATGAATATCTGTGATAAAGTTATTATAAAAAATGTTGTTGTAGTTAAAATATATTTACATAAGCATTAAGAAATGCGGAAACCGGAATCATATTCACATAAATTATTCAAAACTCTCTACTTTGAATGTAACTATGCTGCGTTAAATATTAAAGAGACCTATTCTACGAAGTATAATCTAATACGAAATGTTATACACCAAGCTCTATATTTTACATACCGCCGTATGCAGAAATTACTATTTTAGTTATAAATATGTTTCAGAGTATTGTCATCGCTCTTGGAGCTATTGCAGCAGCAAGTGCAGGACTACTCGCTCCAGCTAGCCCATTAGTCAGTGCATATGGTGTATTCGCCCCACGAGCACTTGCGGCTCCTTTCCCCGCTGGTGTCGTTGTACCAGCTGGTCTAGAAGGTCAATACGTGCCCGACAATCTGGAAAATCTCTACGATGATGGCTTCTACAAACCCGAGATCAGCCCGCTACCATTGAGCCCCTCACCCTATGGACTTGTACCCTCTGGATCTGGACTTGAAGGACAATACGTACCAGATAATCTTGAAACACTCTCCGACGATGGTTCATACAGACCTGAAATTAGTCCATTACCATTGAGTCCCTCTCCCTATGGACTTGTACCCTCTGGATCTGGACTTGAAGGACAATACGTACCAGATAATCTTGAAACACTCTCCGACGATGGTTCATACAGACCTGAAATTAGTCCATTACCATTGAGTCCCTCTCCCTACGGACTTGTACCCTCTGGATCCGGACTTGAAGGTCAATACGTCCCTGACATTACTGAAAAGCTTTACGATGATGGATCTTACAGACCCGAACTTGTTCAAGTAGTTGCTCGCAACTACTAGAATGTTTAGTGAATCAATTAGGCTTTGTAAATAAAATAAATTCTTTTAATTTATGTGCAACCTTTTATTCTTTCTTGACCCAATTAATAAGAATAAAGGCAGCCAGTAAATATTTTAAATTAAGGTGAACAGAGTAATGAGTTTAAGTTATTTGTAGTTGAGATTTAAAAACAAACATTCAGGCTCTTTAGAGTTGTTTCGTATATGATATTTCAAGACCACCTATAAGTTTTTAAGGAAGAATTTTGCATACATGCAAATGATTCTGGACGGTTCCTCTAGAAATTTCCATCAATTTACAACATGAATTTCTATTACATCCTGTATAAGAAAATCATATTTCAATGTATACAAACTTGTGTACAAATTATCTGTTAATAATATTACTGGTATATTGATTTTTATATATATTTAGCAATCATGTGGTTTTACTGGTTTTCATTGCGTCTACGTCATTAAGGAGGAATTCACCTGTAGTACGATCAGGACAGGACTGTTATTATAGTAATTTACAATTTTTTATTCTGTGTAAGCTTGTGTGTAATATTTATTATAAATGAAAAGATTTATTATTATCTCGTGTATTTGTAGACATGGGGAATGTTGATAGATTTGAAAGTAGTATTAAAACTGAATAAATAAATATTCAATAAAATGTACTATTCCGTTACTGGATGAATTGAGAAGAATATCTTGTTTAAAAGCAACTAGTTATAATTGTGAGTAATCAAGTAATCGTATTCTAATATAAAACATATAAAGACAAAAGTGCATCTGTCGCGTTGTCGCGTTGGTGGATATAAGAAATATAAACATGGTAAGTTAGTTAATTTAATTATGTTCATTTAAATAAACATCATTTTTAAACATCCAAAAAAAATGCTTTAGTCATTATGCTTGCTTTACAATTTATAGGTAGAGATGAAACTATATTTTCCTGCAGATTATTCCTGACGAACATGAACTTATTGCCATTTTCTAATAAAAAATAAAGCCAAAGAAATTCAAATTATTCTTTCATAACAATATGAGACGTTGTGAATCAAATTCTAAGCCCTCCTAGATTTCGGTCTGGGGTATTTAATGATTTGCGTAGTCAAACCTGTTGAATCAAATCAAAACGCAACTCAGCATAACCATTGTAACTATTGAACGCCACAATTGATAAAAAAAATTTGTTTCAGTTCCTGAAAGCTCATAGCATTGGGTATTTAGCTATAAGATTTGTTTTTCTGAGAAAGTCTAAAATAAATTATTCAGGCAAAATTTCCAGAATTCCAGAAGGTGCTCAGCTGGAAGAATTAATTTTTTATTTAATTTTTGACGATAAAACCATGAATCTTGATGAGTTTGCTTGAGAAGTTTTTAAAATATTTTGTATCGTAACTAATCTCGAAACAAAAATTTGTTATTCAAACATTATATTTTCGGGTCAAGACAAAATCACTGGGATTTAAAATTAAACACAGCAAATAATACAACCCCATGTATCCCTCAAGGTACCTTGTATGGGAGAGAGCTAGACATTTAGAAACAATGTTCGAGTACCTATGCTAGGATTAACTTCTAGTATAGAAAAAAATCCTAGCTCCTCGACTGGGAATTGAACCCAGGACTCCAGATTAAGAGGCAAGTGTCTTTACCTTTCTACAACGAATCCACTAAAACAGCCAATTTAAGGCCAGTGAGTAATTTAATAAAGAAGTATTATTTGTTGCGCAGATAAAAGTGTTAAGGATCCTAATTTAATTTTAAATTAATATAAATAAATTAACAATTTATACCAAAAATGTAAGGACACCTATTAATTTTGTTAAAATGTAGGTGTGAGGTATAATTTCTTGTACAATATTTAGAATAGTCTAAAACCGTTTTCAACTGACAGTTAAAAATATTTTTTATACATGCATTACTCTCTGAACTTAATTAGTAATGGAGTTGTTGTATAGCAGAAATCGTTAAAATACTGCAAATTATGATAAGAAAATCACCATTGTTAAGAATGTAGTTTATGGTTATACAATTAAAATACGATGGGGAGGCATCGCCCAAAGTAATAGGAACCCAAAATGGCGAATACAATTTAAAATGGCTACGCGTGTTGAAAGTTTGTTACAACTTACTTTAACACATACAAAAGAGTGTTTGATATCGATTTATATATTTTTGAGGTCAAGGATTTCATTTTCAATTGCTGCAGCTATAGCATGAACTAGAATAAATCTGTAAATCTTCCCTGTTCCAAATGTAATCCACACTGCATCCAAGTCCTTTCTTGCCAAGGTAAGGAAGTAGACAATTGCTAAAACTAACACATTGGCATCTACAGTGCGTATAACAATATTTTTGAAGCCATTTTCTACCATGTTTTGGAGAAGAAATATTATCCTTGAGTCAGCTTCTTTATGTTCAAGGCATCAATTAGGAAACTTTGGGTAGTAATATTTCCTTTAATTTCTTCGCCTGCAGTGGTTAAAACTTGTACATTTGTGATAGTACTCGTATTTATAGCTAATGCTCCAAGTAGATTAAACAGCTCTTCCTTGTTACTTGAAATTGTCAAGGAATCCTACCAATTTTTAGATAATAGCTCGCGTGAAAGTACTTGTCTCTGGTTACTTTTCTCTTATTCTGTTTAGAATAAGGGAAAAGGTTAGGGTCACATATGTTCATATAACCATTAAATTAATTCTGATAAATTAACTTCTCTGACCTTTTTTAGACATTTCAAAAGCATTTGATTCCCTGAATACAGAACTGTTAGCAAAAAAGCTAAAATTTTATGGAATAAAGGCAAATATTTTAATGTGACTTACATCTTATTTACGTAATCGCTTTCAATATATTTGTCACGATACTTCAAATGAGAGAAAAATGTGTAATCAACGCAAGTTAACTTCTGGAGTACCTCAAGGCTCGATAATGGGGCCTTTACTATTTAATATCTATACGGTAGATTTACCACATGCTATAAAATATTGTTCTATTCAAATGTATACTGATGATGTACAACTTATTTTTGCTTTTGACCTCTTAGATTCTGAGGAAGCCCAAACCAGAATAAAAGATGACTCGAATAAAATAAGAATTTGGGCGTTACAAAATTCACTTTTATTAAATCCAAATAAAAGTAAAAATATAATCTTTGGTACCCTAAATAAATTAAAAGTTCTTGCTAATTTTCAACTGTCAATTGACAATATAAATATCGAACTAGTTGAAGAAGCGAAAATTTTTAAACTGATTTCTTCTTTTAGAAATATATTTGATATTGAAACCAAACAGCTATTGTGTGAGCATTTAGTATTGTCACACGTCAACTATTGTGATTATGTATATGGACCCTGCTTAAATCTATAAGAAAAATATAAATTACAAAAAATTCAAAATAGTTGTACCAGATTTGTTACAAATAGCTCATTTTAAGATCATATTACACCTCATATTAGAGAGTTAAAGCTGCTAAAATTAAATAAGAGACGTTTCGTGCACCACATTATTAAACAACATAAACACAGTAGAGAAACCTATGTATCTATTTGACAAACTTATGAGAAATTCTATGCACAACAAATCTAAGATATACAAATGATCATTTACATGCAATCCGTCCTAGGTATGAAAAATTTGGATCCTCCTTTTCATATCTGTCTATTTATATTTATAATAGTCTACTCTTGGATCTACACAACAGTTCAACAAATGCATTAAAAAATCAACTCAAAGATCTGAATTTAAGCAATGATTTAAATATTAATTTCAGCTTATTATAAGGACATGTAAAAATTATATGCTAGGTTTTAAATGTCTATAATGTATTGTAGGTTAGTAGTTTTTATATCAGTGTGTACTATACTACTGGCTTTTTGTGTATAATATTATTTTGTATTTTACACAATAAAGATATATTATTATTATTATAAATGTCGTTGATGGGTGTGGCTTTAAAACGTTAGTAAGAACCATCATAAACTATAGCACCACAGGTTCTTGGGAAGGCATAATCGATCCTGTCTACAGTGTCTCTCCAGGAGGAAGAAATGGTTGATTTTCGTGTATGAAAAAAAATCTGCATGGCCAACTGACGATTCTGTGTAACTATTAAGAGTCAGAAAATAGCTGGACATCTGTTTTTAAAGTCCTCAGTGTATCATTTTTCGTGCCAGTGCTCCTCGCAGGAGTACCGAAGAGTAGAATTTCTTCTTTTTCAAAATGAAATATTGTTGAAGAATTTTTTACTAGTCGTTCCCCAATGAAACTCTGGAACATCTTAGTACCAGTGGAATCATGAAATTGAGGTAAGAACGTCCCCTTATGCAAAGAAAGACTTCCAATATGGATTTTTAGCTTTTTTTTATATGAAAAATTAAATTCTTGTCCTCAAAAAACAAATAAATTGATAATAAACACACTTTTGTATATTTTGTAAAAAAATTGTAACAAAATTTCCACTCGTGTAGCTATTTTGAGTTATAGCCGCCATCTTAGATTCCCACCACTTTGGACGATGCCTTCCCATCTTATTTTCATTGTATAACCATAAACTGCATACTTACATATGGGGATATTTATATCACGACTCGCAGCATTTATGTATTTCTACCTCCATTATAGGAGCAACGCCTAAAAGTAGTTTCAAAATATATATTTTTTTCAGATTATAATTCTTATACTAGGAATCATTGGTTTAGTTGACGCAGCATCAGTCTCTCTTCCTGTCACTGATCTTATTCCTCCTGTGGAATCTGATCCTCCACAAGTCCTTGCAGAATCAAAAGATGACAATCTCAAAGGTCTGTATGTCCCTGACAATATAGAAAAGCTCTATGATGATGGCTCGTATATAACGGAGGCTAGTCCTTTACCGTTAATTGACTCCCCATACGGACTTGTTCCCTCTGGTTCTGGACTTGAAGGTCAATACGTACCAGACAACCTTGAGAAACGTTACGACGATGGTTTATACAAACCTGACCTCATTCCAACGTTTCAAACACCTTTGTTTGATACCCCTTACGGAAAAGTACTCGCTGGATCGGGTCTAGAAGGGCAATACTTTCCCAATAATACTGAAAAATTGTTCGATGATGGGTTATATAAAGATGAGGAAGAATCAGATAAATTATAGATTTTATGTAATTTTGTGAAGTATCTACATATATGTTTTTATATTTCGCTATAATTTTCTTAAGGGCTACCATCTCCTTTACACCAGGGTAAAGATGCATATTATTCTGTTAAAATTTTCTCCCATAGAATCATCCTGACAAATTTTCTATCAAACAAGTAACAAACAAGAACAGATTTGACCATATATTATTAACTTATCAGATTTTACACAGGTAACAAACAAATTAAACCTTTTTTTAAAAACTAAAAAATGTGAACAGTTTTCTAGTAAAGTATGTTTTCAAGTGTTTGAAACGCCAGTGTTTTTTTTTTGAACATTTGAATACAAATGCTTGCATAAAGAATGATTTAATTTGGAAAAAAAATGTTTTTAAAATAAGTAAAACCTAAAGAAGAATGAATATTGGTTATTAAGTTATTTCACATACATGAAAAATAAAATAAGTTTGGTTTATCTTTAATAAAAAATAAACATTTTCTATGATTTAAATAAGCTCTTAAGGTACGCCCCTGGGAAGCAGAATTAATACACCCTGTATTATACTACACATTTAGCAAGAAGTAGGGCCATATCCATTTATTTTTCAAGTGCTGAATATGTAAGTAATTGCATACATATATTATTTGAAATAGGTTTATGGTGTTTTAAATACTGGTCAGAAAAATTTGTTGAGAAATGTTCTTTTCTAAATAAGCTGACCTTTTGTATAAAAAAATGTTCATTAAATACATATACATACACGTCTTGTTAAGAGTTTTATTAAGCTTACATATATTTATTACACCAAGAAATGATATTGTCCTAATTATGGTAAGTAAATTAACAAGAATTACTGATTGTTTCTTCTTTGAGATGTTTTAGTTGAATTTTATGTTATTTTACTATAGGGTTTTAAACAATAATTGATATCTGAGTTTGACTTCTAATAGCCAGATTTAGACTAGTGAAAAAATTTGATAAAAGTTCTTAATTACATAACAAATTAAAACAAAGCGTTTTGAGTTGAGTGCTTTTATTTTGTTTTCATTTGTTTTCTCTTCATTTATTTTCTTTTCTTGACTTTTCTTTCCTTTCCTTTCCTTTCCTTTTCTTTCCTTTCCTTTTCTTTTATATTCTTTTCTGTTTCGTCTCTTTTCTTTTCTCCTTTTTCTTTTCGTTTCTCCTCTTTTTCTTTATTTTATTTTATTTTATTTTATTTTCTCTAGTTATTTTATTTTCTTTTTCTTTTTTTGCTTTTCTTCTTTTTGTGGAATATCAAAGGACTTACGTAGGTATCGTTACCATTCTATATTTCAAAACACAATTTGCACTGCCCTTACGTTTCTCCACACTGCTACAACCTGTGTAGCTATTTTCTTTTATTTTCAATTCTATTATAAATCATGTATTGTCACTGTATATTATTGCTTTATATTTTCGCAGCATTTACACAATATATGGAAATTAATGATAAATCCAAAATTCATAAAAAATTTCCAAAATACATGAATGCAAAAATAATTTCTTTGTACATTTTGTATGCTTTTTA